TTTTTTTTTTGTTACTCAGGCAGTGCGCTGCATGAGACAAAAAAAGTAATCTAGCCAAAACCACCGCATAGCCACTCAACATGCATCTACTGTACATGCATGTTGATTTTATCAGACGATGTCGCGATTATAAATGAGAGTGACTCCTGGTTAACATGTATAAATGGGTTGTGTTTCGTCACTATTTAGAGTGGAACTTTTCTACAATATTCACTCATCATGACAGTAAAATAGGGCATTCTAAGTCAATCTACTGCAGTAGCCTATTTCCTCTCTCAATCAGTAGAAAATGCATGGGAAATTTTTTTTTAAATACCGTCATATACTGTGAAACCGGTATAATTTTGAAAAATACAGTGATATAAGTTTTTTACCCGCCCAGCACTAAACCTTACTTACCCCACACTTTAGGATTGTATTAGTAACGATTTCTGAGAGATCATGTGACACTGAAGACTGGCGTAATGATGCTGAAAATTCAGCTGCACATCACAGGAATAAATTACGGACTAACATAAATTCACATAGAAAACAGTTCTTTCTTTTTTTACTGTAACTTTGATCAAATAAATTCAGCCTTGGTGAGCAGAAGAGACTTCTTTCATTAACATAAAAACATTTTTATTCCAATCTTTTTCCGTTAGTGTAAAATGTTGGTTGTTGTAGCCAAGCAAAAAAACTTCACATTTGGAGCGAATATATGAAACTATTAAGAAAAAGCTAGAAGGTTTTATTAATATTTTGATGTTTAAACATAAAATTTGACCAATCCAGTCAGTTATCAATGGATTCAATCAAGTCCCAGCCTTCCCTTTTGTCTTTTTCTCATGAATTATCCTGACTCGTTTGGTAGGGGACACATTGCAGAAGTCAAACTGTTGCAAATACCAATGTAACGTTGCCTTTTTTGGTCCATGCTAAAAATGAGGTTTGTTTTATGTGTTTCTTTAGGGAAAGTGGGAGGTTCCTCTACCGAAGGTCCGAGCCCAGGGTGAAACCGAGGTTCTGAAGGTCATCCGCACAGGAAAGAGACAGAAAAAGGCCTGGAAGAGGATGGTGACCAAAGTCTGCTTCGTAGGAGACGGATTCACACGCAAACCGCCCAAATATGAGCGCTTCATCAGACCTATGGTAAAACACCACACATGCACTCTCAGGTTGAGCAAAATAGATCAAATAAAAATAATACCTCGAGTGAGTTGTGACAATAGAAAGCCCAAGAAGTGCATTAATATTATTGTACTTTTTTTTTTTATTTAAAAAATATATTTTTATTAGTTGTGATTTTTAATGTCTACAGGGTCTGAGGTTTAAGAAGGCACATGTCACTCATCCTGAACTGAAGGCCACGTTCTGTTTGCCCATCCTGGGAGTAAAGAAGAACCCCTCCTCCTCCCTCTACACCACTCTAGGGGTCATCACCAAGGGAACGGTCATCGAGGTCAACGTCAGTGAGCTCGGATTGGTCACGCAGGGCGGGAAGGTCATCTGGGGTGAGTGTCTGATTGGCTCTTCACTTTCTGTCAATGCAGTCCTTGTGTTTCGCAGGATAAAAACAGATATGATCTTGTGTTTCAGGTAAATACGCCCAAGTGACGAATAACCCAGAAAACGATGGTTGCATTAATGCTGTGTTGCTTGTATAATGGAAACCTGATATAGAACTGTGCCTCCAAATGCAGTCGGGAACAACGCTTATGTGGAATACTGTTGTCATCGGAAACACCGTGAAAAAAGATGATTTAAAGACAGTTGATGGAGTTTTGTCTACACATCTGGACCCAAAGCTCACAAGAACATGTGGATCAGAAATCAGAAGTGCTGTTTATTTTCAAATAAAATGTTACACTGTTTCTCTTGGGTTTATTATTTTTCATGAATGGTTCTGTTTTAGTAGAGCAGCTGCAATACTGCTGTACTGTGATGGCGTCACAGCAATATCACTGTATTTACACAGTGTCCTGGAACACTTCGCACCTATCATTTAGATAATTCAGATGCCATAAAAAGTCATCATTTACAGAGTCATTATTTTAAGTGAGATTTAAAATAGGCATCAAATGTCTGTTACATTGTTTACTATTCGGCATGTGATAAATATGGCACTAAATGGAAAGTACAAATCTAGCAAATTATGATTTTTGTAATTACACATTGTGAAAATGATCAAATTGGGCATGGTTCAATTAATTAGGCACATTCGTGTGCACATTGTTTTTGGTAAATCTGCAAATATCAGGGAATTAAAAAATGGTGATTTCTAGACATCTGAAGTCGTAAAGACATTTTTATATTCTGTTCATTTCTAGGATTGGTATCTGACAGACATCTGTCTCAGCAATGTCTAATTTTAAAACTCCTGATCCAGTGAATCATGGACCACTGGGAAACTCAATGAAAAAGATATAGAAATTAACATGTCAATGTGAACATGAATAGAATTCTTAAGAGCGAGTCTGTTTACATCATACAGCTTTATCAAAATCAATACGCAGATCCAGTATTTTGCCATTTTATCTTGGTGCAACTGAAAAATAAAAGTTTCATGAATGTCTCAAATATGAAATTGTTTAAATCAAGTTTTTTTCTATTAAGATAAACAGGCACTTTGATTTACTCAACAAAACCTTCAATCAGAATCAGTGGCACATATCGACGACACGAATATGAATCCTGACAAATTGGAAACAGAAATTATCTTTAGGTTTCAAGTCATCTTCCGGATCTTCATCCTCAACTTGGAAAAAAAAAAAAGGCAGAAATGAATGTATCTGGGATATTTCAAGATAAAGGCTAATTAACTTTTTCCCCATCATAATTAATACAGATCATTATAAAATCGCTGACAGCCAGTGTTTTTACGAGCTCCACAATGTGCAAAGTCATTTAATTAAAAAGCTTCCTCTGAAACTTCATCATCTTGAACAGAAACACCCTTGAGAGCAAGGACTTCAGCAGCCGAGCCGACATGAATAAAACAGTCTCCATTATTGTATAAAACACCTGTGATTTAGTAAAAACATCCCCTGCTTTATAGTCTTTAGAGAGCGTGACTTCGTATAATTCAGTCTGAGGAGCAATTCCTTCTATTGCAGAAGAAGCTATGTGGAAAAAAAGCACACAGAAGATAACCAGTTTGCTGTCTTTGAGTCTTTGTTTTTTTCCCCTCTCGATCAAACATAGAAGTCCAGTCTGGCGGGAATGACCTTGCAGCCCTGCATGGAGAAGACACGCTCCTCTTTAGGGAAGTAGTTCAGGTCGCGGGCCATGGCTTCAACCACTTCTTTATCTGGGGCGCGACCCTTGGAGACCATCTCAGCCAAACCGCACTGAATGACGTGCTTGTACTCCAGAGGAAGAAATGGCACGAAGAAATCCACCAGGTTCATATCGATTAAGCTAGTGTGCCAGAAACCACCTGCAGAAAGAAAGAAGAATGATAATGCAAATGTAATTAATTAAACAATGCACTTGAAAGTGTAAATAAACTACAGTGAAACTAATGAACGAGATAATGCATAACGATCCATTGTCGTGAAGATTTTCTGCTTCATATATAAGCAAATGGGAAAGAGAAATGAGACGTACTGTTTTTGTTGTTGAAGACGGACAGTGACAGTGCTGTCTCGAGATCCTTCAGCTGGATCTCCTTTCGTTCTCTACCATCCCTCCAGAAATTCAGAGCCACCTCAACGATCTTCTCACCTCCAGAGTTGCTATAAGATCAAAAACAAGTAAGTTACAGAGGCTGTTGGGATATATATGCCACCTTTGCTTTTCAACTATTGAACATGGAGCTGCATAGAGATCCCATATCTCTGGGAGTGATCCATATAGGGCCTTAAAAATGAAGACTCCAAAAGAAAAGTTTCTTAATGAATATAAAGTCAATATATATAGATCAGCGGTCAAATTCAACGTTTTGGACATGGAGCTGCTTTGGGATCCCCATATCTCTGGTATTGAACCATTTAGAGACTTCAGTGGTTCCCCTGTCATTATATTAGGGGGGCGGGGCGGGGGCGGCCCCGCGGCCCCCCAAGGGTTAAAGTTAATTTTATATTCTCTATAGCACCAGATCACAACAGAAGTCATTTAAAGTTACCTTTCCTATAGAACATGTCTATACCTTGTTCCTTTATTAAACAAACTAAATAGCCTTATGTTATTTATCTTATTTACACGACAGCATGTCATTTACATGGTCGCGCTCTCTGGATCGCGCACATAGACTGTGATCACGCACAGCGGAGTTCTGCCCCGATGCGCAAACACAAGTGAGCACACTCCCAGAGTAGTATTTGTAAATATTAAGCCACAAAACGACTATTTAAATTTGAATTCTGCATGTCTCTGTGTTAATGAATGGCGCAGACGCGCGGTTTTGTTTACTACTCGTACTGAAGCGCGCGTGACGATTCCGGTGATATTAACGTCTGCAGTCTCACTAAATGAAGACATAAATACATGAACAACATCTCCGGAACTGCTCTGAGAGTCACTTCGTGAGCATTTGATCGTTTCATTTCAGTAAAACTATCCTCATATCATACACACACAGAAATGTAAAGGTATTCACGGCAACCCGTCAAAATAAAAGTTTGGTTTAACTTGAAGACATTGCGGCAGAAATATATTAGCCTACTATTGTTCAGTAGAATGTACGTAATAGGCTACTACTACTACTACTAAAATGATTAAAACCTTATTTTTAAGGAATAATCATACAATATTTCAATTGTAATATTAAATCCCCTTTATTTTCCAAAAAGTTTAATTTTCATTAATTAAAAGATAAATTAAATGAAAGTTTTATGCCTTAAAAATGTTAATACACAACACAGAATTTCTGAGGGGGAAAAAAAATCATAAGGCTATTGTAAGAATAAATTAAACTTGTTTTTATGCTTTCAAATAATTAGACATGCTAAAACACAGAATTTGGTAACAAAACATTAGGTTGGAAAAAATAAAACATTTTTGGGCCCTAAACATGTAATTTTTGTTAAACGTTTTATAAATTGATGTTAAACTGTTTAAGTTTCGTGATTTTAATTAATTAGACATGCTTTTTGATTAATAAAATTTATTGTTCAGTAGAATGTACGTAATAGGCTACTACTACTACTAAAATGATTAAAACCTTATTTTTTAAGGAATAATCATACAATATTTCAATTGTAATATTAAATCCCCTTTATTTTCCAAAAAGTTTAATTTTCATTAATTAAAAGATAAATTAAATGAATGTTTTATGCCTTAAAAATGTTAATACACAACACAGAATTTCTGAGGGGGAAAAAAAATCATAAGGCTATTGTAAGAATAAATTAAACTTGTTTTTATGCTTTCAAATAATTAGACATGCTAAAACACAGAATTTGGTAACAAAACATTAGGTTGGAAAAAATAAAACATTTTTGGGCCCTAAACATGTAATTTTTGTTAAACGTTTTATAAATTGATGTTAAACTGTTTAAGTTTCGTGATTTTAATTAATTAGACATGCTTTTTGATTAATAAAATTTAATTTAACCATTAAAAAGGAGTCCAGAAAAATTGAAACGGAAAAAAGGATATTTTGGCTTTCATCACTATTCATGTTTGTCTTTCTTCAGGAACGATAGTAACAAAATCAAACATTTTAACTGGAGAAGTTTCTGAAATTTGATTGATTTGAGATTTTTCTGGTCTGTACCACTCAGCCTGACAGCAGCTCACATCAAGCACACTAAACAATGACGACTAGTGACCAACTGCATTAACAGAACTCTGACGACTCTGACCTGAGGAAGATGAAGATGGCCTTTCTGTACGACACTCCGTTCAGGTTGTCGTAGAAGTCCAGGTAAGGTTTAATACTGTCGATCAGCCCGGGATGCATTTTATCCATTTCATCAAAGATGAACATCGAACGTGGACAGATAGAAACATTCCCTCGTATCCACTCCTGTAATTGGGTCTAAACACAGATATGACTATAAAATATTCTATTTAATCACCATACAGGATGCTTTGTGTTGGTGCAGTGAAATAAAATGTCATTTCCATGTTTTTTTGCATTACCTTGTACTTGTTAATGTGAGCCTCGTGAGGAAAGTGTGCTGTCGCTGTAAACAGATGAACAAAGTTGCTCATCATCCCTTTCTGGTAAATATTTTCCGCTATAATCTGGCTCACAAAGTTCTTCCCGGTCCCGGTCCAGCCGTGGAGGGACAGAACCAGCGGTTTCTTTGGGTTTTCGTTGTTCATGAAGCCTGTGACGGCTTTCAGGATGACCTGAGCCGCGACATGCTGCCCGTACAGCTTCGTCCTGAGGTCATTATTCAGTCCTGCGGACGAGAGGACAGGTTTACAGCAAACAAATGAGTTACACGTACACCTGCATTTAAAATTAATAAATCATATATTGGACAACAAAACATGTTTAATTGTTTACAATGCGGTTATTATAGTTAACAGAAAGTTTAAAAAAAAACATTTGAATTGCTTGAAACATTAGGTAGCCTGGACTAAAGTCAAATAATAATATTATAATACACTTTTAATACAGTAGTCAACATTTGAAGTGGGTATGTGTATATATATATATATATATGTATGTGTTTGTTTGTTTGTTTGTATGCATGTATGTGTGTGTGTATGTGTGTATATATATTTATGTGTGTGTTTGTTTGTATGTATGTGTATAGGGCCAACACTTTTTCACACCACTGTATATACACCTTGCTACATGTATTGTGTTAGGCTAACCGAGACTTGTCATTTGCACTTATATATTGTTGCTCTTTTGTTCGTTTTGACTGCTTTTATTGTCCTCATTTGTAAGTCGCTTTGGATAAAAGCGTTTGCTAAATGACTAAATAAATAAGTATATATACGCTGTATATTATATATAAATATATATATATATATATTAAAAATGTCGCTTTAAATCAAACTACTTGCAGATTTAAAACTGTTGGAACATTTTTTATTTTTTTTAATTATGCTTGCGTTATAAAACATGTTGACATATTATTAGATGAGTTATGATTTTTGTCCGATTCCTATATTATCATATAGCCTGTAATTTAAGTTATTGATTAATATTAATTACATTAAAATTAATTGCGAACAAGTACAACTCAATAAGCAGTATCAGTACAAGAATTAGCGCTGTAATACATAGCATAAATGCATTCACACCAGATATGAGGTCAAATGCATATATCAGATGATGCATGATGCATGATATAGCCTAGGCTATTAAGTGTCAGGTGCATTCAAATTATAAACACCATCAATGCAAGACGATGATTAATATTAATAAATTCTGACTGCCTGATTGTAGCCTATGGCATTTAAATGCTGGCATCGGCATGGAATTAATTAATTTTAATAAAGATAAATGTGGATTTAATTCACTGTAATATAAGGAAAATGTGGATTTATAGGACACGACCCATAAACATATTCATATGCATTCTTGCGTTCTAACACAACAAATAAAGACAAAGCAGCGCTCGCAAACCTGTTTTGTTGTATGAGATCCACTCGGGTCTGCAGCACTCCTGGAAGTAATAGAGCACGTTCTGATAACGGGCCAGGAACCCGGTGAGCGCCGCGGCCATCCCGACCGCGATGCTGGTGCTGATCGGCTCTATCGCCGCCGTGACCGACAAACTCCACAACATACAGCCAGCGAACAGCAGCCGACATGTCAACCGCATTCTGCTGTCTGACAGCGAGCAGCGAAAGCGACTCTAATCCGGTGCAGTAACTAATGATGAGCGACTTCCGTAAACCGAATCAAAAGCGTTCCGTTCAGAATCAAGCACGAGCTGCGAGAAGTTCCACGCCAAGAGACGCCACGAATAAGAAAAAGTCATTCAAACTAAAAGCTACAACTCTATAAATACTATATATATATATATATACACACACACATTTAAGAAAATAAAATAAATTAAATAAAAATGACAAATGCATACAACAACATTTCAAAACTAAACATTTAAATGAAAACAAAAAAATAAAGCTAAAAACAATTCAAAATATTACAAAGGTATGAGTATAATAATGATTCTAACATAACACTAAGCCACACTACACCAAAGAACAACTACATATGTGGTTATAAAAAACTGAAACAGAAGTGAAACAAGTAGTAGGAAAGAGGAGAAATAAAAAGCGATACTTATTTACTTCAAAAAGAAAATGTACTTATATACTTTAAATTTACTTATTTACTTCAAAAAGACGTTGTCTCTACACCTACACATTGTCTCTTCATTGATAAACAAAGTGAAGGAAGTAACCTTTAAAATTTGACATACCACCTAGTAAATAATTTTCTTGTTAAATTAAAAAAAATGATAGATTTGAACTGTCCTTTTTGGAATATGGTGACTGAAACTTTGTTTCATTTATTTTGGCATTTCTCTCATGTTAAAAAATGTGGGAAAGATTTGACTAGATTTATAATTGATAACATCTTTGTGCTTATAGAACACGTTTTATTTGGCTTTACTAATATCCACTTAAATAAAAGGAAAGAGTACTAGGCTACATTATAAATTAAATTTTAATTTTACAGTAAAACCAATCCTTTATGTTTGGTTCTTGAAAAAGAAATTCAAATTTATAAGATAATTATTTATTGACATAATAAGAAAGCAATTAAGACTTAGCCCCTGGCTGTATGTGTATTTTGTACACAAATTTAGTATTTTATATATATATTGTTTGTGTTTTATGTATTTATGTGTATTATTGTAGCCTTAACTGTAATTTGATAGTTTATTGAAGTTTAATAAAATAAAAAAAGCTGTTGTGGTTTCATATAACTAAAAACCCAGGAAGGTATTTGAATTAGCCTATTTGATTAAATTATTAATTCGAGTACTTCTGAAATTAAGACTTCAGAGATATTTTAATGTGGAAGAATGTCTCTTCTCTCCCTATTTGTTCATCAAAGCTACAAAGGAAGTAGGCTAGCTACATAAAATATTATTTTTGATCTTCAAATGAAAATCTGCTCATTTTCAGTGTCTTGTAACTTCAAAACTGTTTTTTGTCTGTTAGAAAGGAGTCATTTACTAACTGTACTGTAATTGTATTCTGCCTATATAGGCTATTTGATGATTCTTGTGACTTCCGTCAAAGGAATATAACACATCGATAAAAGCAATCCCAATTTGTTTTGTTCAACTAATTAAAAGTTACCCAATGTTTAGCGAGGGGAACATTATGCATTCTGCTTTTCTTTTAGGCAGCATTGATAGGGAAAAACAAGAAGAAACATATTCACAGCAGTTACAGCAAGGAATAAATTAGCTTTAAATCCTTAATAAAATCTACTAATCTAATCTAAGAAACGGCTGTCTTTTTTTTTTTTTTATGTAATAAACCAATACATTTTGGGCTTATTTAAGTTATTTTATTTTTATCACAGAAATAAATCACTCCTTTATTCTGGAAGATATTATTTTTATTACGAAAATCCTGATGTTTCATTATTTGCACTAGGGATGTAACGGTATGAAAATTTCTTATCACGATTATAGTGACCAAAATGATCACGGTTATCAGTATTACCACGGTATTGTTAAAATGTTCAAAAAGTACCGGCACATAAATCATTTCACCAAGTTTTACATTTAAAATCAACAAACAACAAATAAAATGAGTTTTTGTTTGCATAACTAAAACAATAACGTTGCGAATGATGTCCGGATTTTAAATGACAACATGACTGACAACAGTTTATCTAATAGCATGTTTTAATATCTAATGTAAATGTTCAAATAAAGCTTTGAAAAAGTTTCACAAATGGTAAACCTCACATTTCAGCTTTTAAAGGGGTCATATGACGTTACTAAAAAGAACATTATTTTGTGTATTTGGTGTAATGCAATGTGTTTTGCATTACCATATAATGTACATTATTGTTTCTCCTCTATGCCCCGCCTTTCTGAAACGTGTTGATTTTTACAAAGCTCATCGGTCTGAAAAAAGCGAGGTGTGCTGTGATTGGCCAGCTATCCAGTGCGTTGTGATTGGCCAAATACCTCAAGCGTGTGACAGAAATGTTACGCCCCTCACATACTGTGATGCCGTCTCCCAGCAGGACGAGACAAAACCAATAAAACCCATTATAAATGAGGCTTTTGTTGCATCCAGTGGAGACATAATTACTGGTTATAATGACTTATACTGTCTTTTTACGCATTGCGTATCTCGCCGTGTAAACATAAAACCACGTCTGCATTTGTGATCGGAGAAACAACAAACAAGCGCTACTCTACACTGCTCAAAACTCACGTTTGAATCGTCAGTGGCAAATTATTTAAATATAAAAAAACGTACTTGCAGTCTGTGAGTCAGAAGCGCCAGACTGTCCTTGCAAAGTTGGAACTGCCCAACTTTATAGAAACAGCCTTTGTGCCACAGACGCATTAGGCTACTGGTTCAGGAAACAGTCCTCGTCCTCCGTAAAATGCATTGCACACATCTGAATATTTGGGTTGAACTGTTCTGGAACAGTGTTGTAAATACAACTTAACCACTGATTTCTAGTCGTGTCCTCTTTTGGAAGACCAAACAAAGTAGTTTCGCTCTCACAACGAAACACACAGCGCCTTCACAACATGGCGGCAACAACAATACTACAGCGAGGATAAAAGTTACGACTTCTTTCTTTGTGTGAACATTTGGGCGGCGTTATGCAAATCTTCCCACATAGTGAGGTAGACATGTGGGGGTGTGTTAGAACGAGCCGTTTTAGGTAGGTGTGGCTGACTCTTAACTTTTATAAAGAATATCTCTTTGGATTTGAGACTTTAGTCTTTGCAACTTTACAGATCTTCTTTATGCACCAAGAGCTTGTAACACTCCAAAGAGAAAGGACAAATTGAAATCTCATCATATGACCCCTTTAAATAAAGAAAAGGGTTAAGTCAAAATTATAATTGATTAATAAATGATTATGTATGAATGTATTTTATCTGCTCCATAAATAATACTAGATACCTTATTGTTTAAATGTGTAGAATCCACATAAGCTTGTTTTTCCAAGCATGCAAATTCAGTCCATCTTTTGGCCCAGACAAAAACTGCACCCAGACTGAATGCAAATCCACTCTCTGACAGCAGGTGGCGCTTTTGGAACAGTAGAATTAGAGCTGTTTCCCGGAACCTCCGAGGACAAAACAGCATTGCGCTTAAAACACTACTTTATTAGGTATTACATGGAGCGAAGACGAAAACAAAATGCCATCAAATCTTTTCTGAAGACAGTCAGAATCTTCAGAGGTACATTCATATAATTAATTCATCCATATATTCATTTGTATAATTCCCTTAGCACTCTTTAAAACCTCCCAGCTTTTCCTCCATGTTTTCACACAAAACTAAACCACTGCTGCTGTGCGCACGTGAGACTGTTACTTAAATGAAATGTTCCCTCCTGGTGGAATGACCTGCCCAACTCAATCTGAGCAGCTGAGTCCTTAACCATCTTCAAGAATCGGCTAAAAACACATCTCTTCCAGCTTTATTTGACCCTCTAACTCTAGCACTCTCTATTCTAATTCTATTCTTAAAAAAACACTTGTCCTGTTTTAGACTTGCACTCTATTAATTTGCTGCTTGTTTTCTTTAAAAAATAAATAAAAATAAAAAAAACACTTGCTTTCTAACCTTTTTGTATTCTATCTGTTTTCTTTTCATTTATTATATAATGTAACGAATCAGTCCACTGAAGGCGAGCGTAGTGAGAACCCAAGTGCAGTTTTATTTACAGTGTGATCCAAACATCCAAACAATAATCCAAACAAGATACACAGACTTGACGAGGCATGAACAGACTTGACGAGAACAGACTTGACTAAACTCACCGACAGCGGGTTACAACATCAAATACACAACAAGGCACAATGGGAACATGATGGCTAGTTATAGCAAACAAGAGGGTCACATGACAAGAACAAACCAACATGACACATACACAAGGCAGAGATACATGAGGGCAAAGGAAGCATGACACCAACAGGGTGAAACAATTACAAAATAAAAGACATGAAAACATGAACATGAAACAAAAACAAACCCCAAAACCCCACATTACATATAATTAACTAAAGCAATAAGACCTCTAACACTAGATTGCTCTACTCTTTTTCTATTTATCTATTATATAATTTTTAAAAAAACCTTGTGTTAAGCTTAAGGTACTGCGTTAAGCTAACTGAGACTTGTTATAGCACTTGCGTATCATTGCTCTTTTGTTGATTTTGATTGCTTCCATTGTCCTCATCTGTAAGTCGCTTTGGATAAAAGCATCTGCTAAATGTAAATGTAAATGTCACTATGAAAACATTGAAAAAGATTTCAGTATTATACTGTTACTATGATGTTCATGTTAATAAAGAGACGCTACCAAGCTGCGCCTGCGGAAAGACACTGAAGTTTGCGTGTGCTTTAGTTTCTCCTGATAATTCTGGTACTTTTAATCTGCTTACGTGCTCCGCGCCCGGGACACGTAACACGTGTGTTTTGTGTTACATATTTCATTTAAATGATGACGAATGACAGATTGGAGATGCTTTTTCTGTGTCTTATATATAGAAGTGCAATTTGTTAGCAATGAGCTTGCAGCCCTGGTCCGAGAAGACGCGCTCCCCTTTAGGGAAGAAGATTAGGTCATCAGCCATTCTTTTAACCACATTGTTATCTGGGGTGTGACCCATTCTGGCCATCTCAGCCAAACCGCACTGAATGACGTGCTTGTACTCCAGAGGAAGAAACGGCACGAAGAAATCCACCAGTTTATTATCAATTAAACTAGTGTGCCAGAAACCACCTGCAGAAA